AGCAGGCTGTCGGCCGGCAGATGGCCGGCCGCTCGGCCAGCTTCGGCTTTCAGCATGGCTCACCGAAGGGGTCCTAGGGCCGAAGCTAGCCGAAGGATCGGCCGAAGCTACGGCCAGATCCTTCGCCAGCTTCGTGAATAGACCCCAGAGTGTTGGATGTGACTGAATGGTTATCACCCACATAGTCAACTTGGGATATATGTCAATAAAAAGGTTCCTACTTGCGTAAGACAGCATTATTCAATAGGACAGCAAAAAGAGTGAAGTTTATATGCATCTGATCTCTATCGTGTGTTGAGGAATCCATAAACATAGACAACAGACATAAGTATGTAGGATATGTATATGTATTGTAACAAGGACACTCCACTGTAGTCCAGGTAAGTCAAGTAAAACGCAGTTTATTAAAGGGCAAACACAAAACAGCTTGCATCAGCAACATAAGACAGTCCTTGTTATGGCTCTGTAGCTTTCCTCAGCTTCAAGACACTCACGCTGCTCACCCCTCGTGAGCCCTCACTCTGCTCTCTTAGCAGTCTGTACCGCAGGTCCTGGGATCACCGACCTTCCTGACCTCTCCCCTCGTGGGCACTCGCTCTGCTCTCCCAGCAGTCCGTACAGCAGGTCCTAGGGTCACCGACCTTCCTGACCGCTCCCAGCTACCCCTGGCTGTTCCGTGTGCGTCCAGCACGCACCCGAGGTGGTCTGTGTCCGTGTGCTCCCTGCACACACACAAAAAAATCAATCTTGGTGTTTAACTTTACGCTGTATTTGTAGTTCATCCTTCTGTTGCTGGTATTTATCTAAAAGACTGCATCAGGGATTTGTAAATGCGTGTAATCATGTGACATTTACACACCAGTTATTGACTGTCCCGCTTTTCGATCTGAAATCAAGGGATAGGGACATGACACAAACAATTAGGGTTTAGGCTTATACATTTTCACGCTAAAAGGTTCCTTACAGTAGTTGACAGGTGTGAAAATTGTTGGCTTCCCTGCTGAGCTAAAAATAGCCGACAGGAATGACCCATGTTTACTGCACAACTTCCCATTCAAAGCAGCCAGATAGCAAAGATTTATTCCCCTTTGCTTTAATCAAACATTCCTTTTTTTTTTTTGTCTTTCTGCTGGATAGAGTTATGAATGTTATTCTGGTGGAGAACATGATGGAACTGGCACAAAGCAACTATAGCTGAGTGTTTTTACAATCCTCATAGCGAGAGAGCGGCTGAGCCCTGCTTTGTAGCAATGACTTATGAATTGTTATAATTGAAATCTCCTCTATTGTACAAGGTATGCCAAAGATGATATTTATCTCACACAATGCAGGAGCCCTTTAGATCCAGCTGTCGGCATACAGAAAGCTCTCGTAGACTGACCTCACTCTATATTTTTTCCTGCAAGCTTTTATGCCATTATTCTCTGATCTGTCCTTTTCTGTTCTCTAGGCTTAAAAAAAGGAAAGTAACTTTTTAATGGGCAAACCAGGTGCATAGCTACATATTAGAAATGGGTAACCAGTGCTAGGTTTGTCTGGGATGCCCATAGAAACCAGTTCTTCCAGTAGGTCTTAAAAAAACAACTATTCAAATTAATTAAAAAAAGTTAAACAAACTTAGAAACATTAATAGCAAGTAACAAGGACATTTGGATTCTGCTCATAGAAAAACCATGTATTATATAATTAGATACGTGTTTATGTGCACAAATTTAGTAACTTACAGAAAATGGGGAACGGGTTGCTATAAAGGAATTAATTAAAAATACTGTGAGCATTTAATACTTCTTTAAACTGCTTACTTTTATAAAATGCACTTAATGATATATTAATTTACAGAGCTGCATTAATTTGTGCCTTTTATATGTGCCTGAAGTTCAGCTTCAAAAGTCTGTACTGTTCTTGTAGTACAAGTATTAAAGTAGAATTAAACTCTCATACATCTTTCCAAGAACGAATCCAGATTAAAATATATTGACATTGCCCAGCCAAATATTTCTTTACATTTTTGCCCAAGCACTTACAGTCATGATGTTTCTGAACAGTTGGCTCCAAGTCTCGGAACCCAGCTTCCCTAAACTTCCTCTCCAATAAAAGATCACAAGGACAGAGCTGTCTCCAGCAAATGTCCATCTACCAGCTTGGAGAA